AAAGAAGTTTGAATAGGGCAAAAACTCTGTGAATGTCTCATAGAAAGTTTGATTTGCACAGCATTCTTCGGATTTGTAGGTAAGCATAGGTCCTCAAAGCAAGTTCACAGCATTATAAAGCAGAAATCAGGGTTCAGAATTAACATAGGATTGCCAGTACGAAGAGTAAATTTCAGGAAGGACACATGACATTTCCTTGTGGACTACCTTTTATGTTTAGGTAGACAGCAACACTGGAGCAGAACTTTTCTGTGAACAGAAACTTTATTTTCAATTTCATGAACATTTACATAACATTGACAGAACTGTCAGAATATCAAATTCTACCCCTATTGTGACAAATGTCATTCTTGATTGATGCCCATGACTAAGGTAGAATTCTATAATATTTCAATGGTTAAGCTGGTCTTTATCTGTGCCCAGCTTTTCAGTCATGACCCTGGTCTTCTTGCTCAGCCGGCTTCCTCGTCCTCAGCTGGTGATGCAATGTTTATCTACATGATCTAGTTATCTCCCTTGATGGTACATGTTGGTCTGATGACTGTCACACCACCCATAGGCCGGGACGAGTGCAATACAGCTTCGTATCACATGCACTGTACCCATCTCGGACTACAGGTGATGCGAGGTGTTACTCCAGGGCTCCGAGTGCAATACAGCTTCGTATCACATGCACTGTACCCATCTCGGACTACAGGTGATGCGAGGTGTTACTCCAGGCCTCCATTGTCGATGTTGTCAAATTGTACCAGGCGGGTACTTACTTCTGAAATTGTTCATTTTTCCCCCCAATTATCACTTGAGGCGTTTATTCAACTCCTCTGATATGACTCAGTCAACACTGTTGTGTTATAATTGGTTGGTTTGCTGTTTAACGCCGCACTCAGCAATATTACAGCTATATGACAGCGGTCTGTAAATAATCGAGTCTGGACCAGACAATCCAGTGATTGATATGAGCATCGATCCACGCAATTGGGATCAATGACATGTATCAACCAAGTCAGCGAGCCTGACCACCCGATCCCGTTAGTCGCCTTTTACGACAAGCATAGTCACCTTTTACGGCAAGCATGGGTTGCTGAAGACCTATTCTACCCCGGAATCTTCACGGGTCTGTTGTGTTATCAGGCTGATGAACTTACACTGATGTAGCCTTCAACTCCATAACAGTCAATCTCTGTCAAGTACAAAACTAGAGCTACTGGCCCCTAATACAGGCTATTCAGCGATGGTAACTAATACCGTATTCGACGTAATAAGCACCCACGGCGATATTTGCTAATATATTGGCTAGTGAACAATTCAAATTAGCACCCCTTCCGATTGATCAGTGTACTCAAGACCTATTTATTCGTGTATAATACGCCCTCATGTGATATATGCACCCTTAATTATGGAAAAATATATGTCGTACATAAACATTTCAGGCTGTCAGCATAAACCACAAAATTTATATTTCAACTGTTTTTCCCGCCAAAATAATATTCTAATAAGAGCCTCTTATTTGTAATTTTGAGAGCGCCCTGGGCGTTCTTATAATGACCAACACCCTTCAAAATGACAAATGTACTAGTCCTTATGATACCTTTACTATTAGGCAGTTTGGAAAGGACGACATGACTTAGCACCAATATCTAACACTGCGATTGTCGAAGCCCATGAAGACATGTATTTTCAAGTGCATATGCAGACTGCGACTTCAACCACTGTCTAAAGCCCGAGTCCAGAAATATTCTGTTTGGTCTAGTGAGCTCAGCAAATAATAATCAATGCAACAACTCTATTCTACTGAAAATTATGCTGAGAGCCATGTTTGTGCTCGTGTTCTCAAAAAGTTCTGGCACTGACCTCCGAGATATGTAAATGTAAACTCTCCCCAGCATGAGCCAATGGAGAGTCCTAAAAAAAGATTTATCTAACAGGTTAAATCTGGAATTCATTTTTCAAGACAAATTGATCAGTGTTTGAAATAAAGGGTGAGGTCTGCCCCTCCTTTATTTGAATCTAGGGACCCAGTAGGTCTAACTTCTTGCATCAGGGCAAAGACAAGGGCCCTTGACGTCCATGCTAAGTTCTTTCACAGTTGATTCTTTGTCAGATATCTACAGGTAAAACTTAAGTAGTTCTTGCAGGCAGACCTTTCATGTACAAGTTCAGGCTGGTACTTCACAGTTAATGCAGACTTCTTACATACACACTACTCAAACAAGGGTAAGGACAACCCGATTCTCTCATATTACCGTATTCGACGTAATAAGTGCCCAGGGCGCTCTCAAAATTAGAAATAGGGGGCTCTTATTAGAATATTATTTTGAGTTGAAAGATCGTAAATTTCGTGGTTTATGCCGACAGCCTAAAATGTGTATATACGACAGATATATTTTTCCAGAATTTAATTGCCCATAATTAAGGGTGCATATAACATACGAGTGCGTATTATACACAAATAAATAAGTCTTGTGTACATTAATTTATCTAAAATTACACAAATAATTTTGAAATTACTTTATAAACACAAATATACAAAAACAATTAGATCACATGCTGACAGTTTGTTTCTGTGAGCCTATGCAACTATGTAAATTTCTGCTGAGTATTTTACCGCCTTCGCAGAAGGTTGGTTGGTTTGTTGTTACGCCAAACTCAGCAATATTCCAGCTATATGACTGCGGTCTGTAAATAATCGAGTCTGGACCAGACAATCCAGTGATTAATATCATGAGCATCGGTCTGCGCAATTGGGATCAATGACATGCATCAACCAAGTCAGTGAGCCTGACCACCCGATCCCGTTAGTCGCCTTTTACGGCAAGCATGGGTTGCTGAAGACCTATTTTACCCCGGATCTTGATACGTATCATATCACGCATGTAATATCGTCCTTCATATGGTACACAAAATACCCTGATAAGCATGGTTTGTGACTCCCTGTGTCGTGAAAGCCTGATCATATTCCACTAATACACGTCGACCAAAAAGTCAAACCTTCGACAAACACTAAGTGTTCTCCCATACCAACTCTGGAGATGGCACCGGGAGAACAACAAAGGACTAACTACTTCTTTTCAGTGAGCAGTCAAGTGGCTGAGAGTTTGTATTGGGCCTTCTCTCCGCGACTCGGCGAAACATGACCCCACAAGCCTGAGGAGCTGGGGCCAGCATTGACTTGGAACATGTATACACACTGACTGAAGGAGGGAATTCCTTCTTCATAGCAACTGGTGTTTCTGGGCTACAGTGGCAGTACATTATCATATTAATGGGGGAAGAGCGAGACCCGCGAACACCGTACTGGGATTTGGGTAGGGTCACATGGCAATAGGGCATTTTCATGATTGTAACAGGGGTAGAAACTAACAGCTTTTGTCCACTAGTCCTTATAATGATAACATATAACAAAACCCCTTAAAATGGGCTAATTTCTACTAGTCCTTAGGATACCTTTGCTATTGGGCAGTCTGGTAAGGACTATAGGACTGGTGCCAATTTCTAACGCTGTTGTAACTTTTCAGAAGACATTCTTTCATGAACTAATTTGAATATATTTTTGTTTACGTTTTGGATGACATTCAGTCAATGTCCTTGAATGTTCTGTTTGTTGTTTAACGCCACTCTCCACAATATCCCAGTTTTATCCCTGTAAATAATTGAGTCTGGGCTAGACAAACAAGTGATTGATATTTAGAGCAATGACACACAATCAACCACGCAACGAAGTCGCCTCTTGGTCCAAGCACAGGTTGCTGTGGGCACCAGTACAAACTAGGAACCTTCACAATGTTCAAACAATTTCTGTGTCATCAGTCTTCTGTTACAGGGTTTCAGAAAGGTTCATTTTCAAGGACTGACTTTCATAAAATATATGTTGATATTATTCAAATTTGGAAATGAAAAAGAAGAATGTCCCTTAAAGTTTTTTTTAAACAAAATCAAGAAAATTCCTTTTGTCTCCAGCAAAATCTGTATTGCAATACAGGGTTAGAAACTAACAGTTTTTGCCCACTAGTCCTTATAATGATAACATATGGCAAAACCCTTAAAATGGGCCAATTTCTACTAGTCCTTAGGATACCTTTACTATTGGGCAGTTTGGTAAGGACTACAGGACTAGTGCCAATTTCTAACACTGCAATACATGACCCAACAATATACTTCAATCCTGAGTGAGTGAGTTTGGTTTTACGCCGCTTTAGCACTATTCCAGCAATATCACGGAGGACACCAGAACAATCCTGACAAGGAACATTGCAATGCACCAAACATTCAGTGAAATCGTTACAGCCCAGCTAGAACTACATTTCAAGGCAGAGTTCTCAGAAGGAACATTAAGTGGTCAATCTATCATCTGAAGAACACCAGCTGACACTCCACCCGACACTCGCCAGGACTTGACCTGGTGAAACGTCAAATACAGGGGCGGTAGAAACCAACTCATTCTTCAACAGTCGACCCATGTTTGAAAATAAGCATGAAAGGAGACTCTAGAAAACAGGGTTAGAAATTGGCACTAGTCCTATAGTCCTTGCCCAACTGCCCAATAGTAAAGGTATCCTAAGGACTAGTAGAATTTTGACACTTTAAAAGGTGTTGCTATATGCTATCATTATAAGGGCTAGTGGACTGAAACTGTTAGTTTCTACCGCTGGAAAAGCTGCGTATAATACACAAAATAAATCACCATTACCCAATTATTTTGAGTTGCTTGTGTTGTGTGCTAATTATACATGAAAAAAATAAGAAATAGCAAAACAGCGAGTAATTACCCAATGTATCCATTTCCACTTGTATACCCATATTCAAGGTTGATGCTAGGAATTTCTGACATGGGGCCTTTATGTAAAAAAATTCAAATATTCGAGAGGTACACCCACACTTGCCCATACAGCACAATGTTAAAATGTCCCACTGTATTTGAAAATGTGGGCCTTTTTTTTCAAATGTAGGGCAAGCACAAGACCCCACCCTAGAATTATCGCTGAAAACCACTGTGCACTTACTTCATGTCTTGGCTCAGGAACATCTCCAATGGAATCCCCATCACCAGAAGCAGTTGCCTCCCCTTCCTTGCTCAAGGCTGCCAGTCAGCCGTGTTGAGGCTTCCACAGCCTCCTGCAGCAGCCCTCTCTCCTCAAGGCTCACTCTCTGAAAAGTTACCATTCCTCGCCAATAAGATGATTTTAAACTCTCCGAACATGCATTGTTCTGTTGATGGCTGTATCGAACTTCTGCATGACAGACTAGTCCACTTGTTTCAGAATAGTTGTCCATATTTTTTCGCACGGCTATCCTCAGTTGGGGTACAATACCCTAACAACAAATGGTATATACAATACTGTGACTCCGGGTTGGCAATAAAGTCATCTTAAAGGCTACTTCAAGGCACAGACAAGGAACAGCTTCCTTTAAAGCACCCCTGATGTAAAGATCCGAGGCACAGACACGGAACAGCTCCCTCTCAAGGACCCCCTGAGGTACAGATATGGAACTGGTTCATCGCAGGACTTGCTTATCTAGTTTTGAAGCAGAGACATAGAACAGTTTTATCGCATGTAGGCTTCAGGGTTTCTCCAACAAGCAGATATATGTAACATCTTCGTCCAAGCACCTGCTGATGTAGAGTTTGAGGACGATGTTTCTTCAAGGCAGAATATTTGCGCTCACTTCAGTGGAGTATCTAAGCGTGTTGAGGCAAAGACGTGGCCAAGCTTGGACGTAGTACTGCTTGATCAAAGCCTGTGGTGGTCGCAGCTACTCTACCAGGGTAGGCCCGGAGTTGACTCAAGTCCTGCAATATATACACAACACTCGTCAGGCAATGTCAACCCTATCAGCGCTCCACTAAACAGTGCCAGTCATTCATGGCCATTGCTCCCTTTATTTGCCTATTAATTCACATTCTGATAGACAAATATCAGTTTCCACCCCAGTGGACTTCAGCAGGGAGGTCTGTTACCGTGTTTCACCCAATGAGGAACTTGGGGGGAATTCGATATTAGACATGATCCAGCATGTTCAACAGCGATACAAACTATGTTTTCGTCTACTAGTGGAGTAGTCCTTAGAATGTAACATATAGCAAAACCCTTAAAAATGGCAATTTTCTACTAGTCCTTATGATACCTTTACCATTGGGCAGTTTGGCAAGGACTATAGGACTAGTGCCAATTTCTAACCCTGCTAGTCCTTAGAATGTAACATATAGGAAAACCCTTAAAAAGGGCAAATTTCTACTCGTCCTTATGATACCTTCACTATTGGGCAGTTTGGCAAGCACTGTAGGACCAGTGCCAATTTCTAACCCTGCTAGTCCTTAGAATGTAACATATAGGAAAACCCTTAAAAAGGGCAAATTTCTACTCGTCCTTATGATACCTTCACTATTGGGCAGTTTGGCAAGCACTATAGGACCAGTGCCAATTTCTAATGTTGTTCAATGCTCACGTGACTATGGAGACATTGGAGGACCGAATGGTTGGTTGGTTGGTTTGTTGTTTAACGCCGCACTCAGCAATATTCCAGCAATATGACGGGGGTCTGAGAAATAATCGAGTCTGGACCAGACAATCCAGTGATTGTCATCATGAGCATCGATCCACGCAAATGGGATCGATGACATGCATCAACCAAGTCAGCGAGCCTGACCACCCGATCCCAGTAGTCACCTTTTACGACAAGCATAGTCACCTTTTACGGCAAGCATGGGTTGCTGAAGACCTATTCTACCCCGGATCTTCACGGGTCGGAGGACCGAATGAGAGCCATCCATTGTCCTGCAACACCTGGACAATACTTGAACTCGGCCAATAATTTCACAGTTCAAAGACCCATATATATAAAAATTATTCTGACCCCCTGTAGCCTGTTAATCATGAAGTCAGTGACTTTGCACGACAATGGTATTAGGGCATTTCCAAATTTTTGACAACAATCTTCTAATGATTACCAAATTTCCAAACAAAAACATTTGTATGATAATCGGTCAATGTCCCGAAAGATGAACCCATCCGAAACCCTGTGTTCTCAGCAAGTCTAAAACCTCAACAAACTGACAGCAGAGATCTACACAGAATGTTTGTTTGTTTGTTTGTTTGTTGTTTAACGCCTCACTCAACAATAATCCAGCCATATGACGGTGGTCTGTAAATAATTGAGTGGACCATATTTGAGCATCGATCCACGCAATTGGAATACGATGACATGCATCAGTGAGCCTGACCACCCGATCCCGCTAGTTGCCTCTTACAAGCATAGTCGCCTCTTGAGGCAAGCATGGGTTGCTGAAGATCTATTCTAGCCCAGATCTTCATAAGTCTTGGCACAGAACGACACAAGCAGCATGGTCCTACAAAGCAAGGACGATTTGGTAATGAAATCATGTTTTCTCTCAACAACCTCACTATTCTGGATTAAAACAGCCCCTATCCTCCCATATCATTCACTTTCGCTTTGAAATTTGAGAATCGGTTAATGAGTAGCTTATAACAAAAACATATAGTAAAGTTTCAAGGCCTGCTGTAACACACTGTTTGTTTATATCTTCAACAGACAGTTGACAAGTTTGCCTTCTATTTATGATATAAGTGAGAAGTATTTTGTTATTGTTATTACAAATGTACGAGACATGAAAACTATCCTGCATATTTTATTGAAAACAATCTCATTAAACTCAGGACATCCCATTACGGGTTACGTTAGAACGACCTTTCGTGAATTTTGACCGACCAATGAAATGACTGACAAGAAATCGACATTAGCCAATCAGAAGGCAACTTTCTCGAGCTTTACGACACTAGTTTCAAACTGGCGACTACGCTTCGAAACATATTTCGACGTATTCTCGATTTAAAAATATAAAACTGATAAGAAGAACATTCTGGAATGGCTTATAGATGGCCTAGATTGTATGGATATAATCATAAAACCTGTAACTGTCGTTCGGAATACCCCGTGTTAAATATTTCGTGGTTGTATGATTAGAAAACACATTCCGACTGTCACTTTCATGATCTGGTGAGCAACGCTCTGATTGGTTGGATGTAGGTCGTTCTTACGTGACCCGTAATGGGATATCCTCAAATCTTTGTTTAGCTATAGGTGAGAACTAAGATCTGATTTTAATGAGATTGTATTGAAAACAATAAGAGATGAATCGATACGACTTGAATAAATGGACTCGCCGATCAAAGATGTTTTGCGGGTCCACGGGATGCAACTCCGCACAACAAATTGCGGTGCCTTAGATGACCAGGCCACCCTACATTTTAAGTTTTCACAGAAACACCTGCTTTCAACAAATCCACTAAAATCAGTCTGCAAATACCACCCTGCCTTATCCCAGGAGTGTTGACCACTGCCTAGCAGGTGCCCCCTCCTCCAGAAACAGGGGGTATAGAGTAAATCCCCAGGACGTCCCCCAGCACACGGCACTGGTTATCTCAAGTGTGACAGAGTCAAACTCTCGTTATTTATGATCTGCATAAAAACAACCCTATCGTGACATGCCAGGCAGCCGATAGGTACCGCAATGGCAACTATGTCACCCACATACACTACTTCTCGATCCAACTTGATAAGGGCAAGTTCACGAACACAACCGACAGAAGCAGTTTCCGAGTGCATGCTGTACCAGCGATAACTAGGACCACTATCAACAGCATTGATATGGCACAATTTTCACCTTGTGATTCTTATCAAACAAATTGTTTTACAAATATACATTCTGGCAGTGTTTGTGTTCATTGTTTGACCTCGACCGAGGGGACAGAGTTATGCCCTGGCTATTTACTACACCCCTGTCCTGCCATTACTTACTCAGGGCCATTAATCCTGGGGTCGGGTTAATCATGATTGCAGATTTGCTTGTATACCGGTAGGTCTGTTTTATTTTGGATGCATGAAACTACACGTTCAGACGAGGTGTTTTCGGGAATCGAAATGAAATTTTATTTGCCCTTGTCAGTAGAACTATTTTGCTTCAGTGTTGCGATCAACCTAATGGAAAAGGTGGTGGTCCACGAGGAGATGCCGACAGTCCTTGCTGAATATTACTTGCCTCAGACACTCTACCACAACTTTTAACCCTGGTTGTAGTGACACTCCAACTTTTATCACAATTATTGCAATATGTGACAATGTTTGAAATTAAGCATGAATATCATGGGGGTTCAAACGGAGAGGGAATGGAGAGGTGAGGAGAGGCAGAGATCCTGGGCTATTGATGCTACAATATTTGAATTTAGGGATCCCCTAAATCTCCGTGACATTAGGGTTGTGATAAGTACTCCCTGACTTCCATTTCCAACACAGTACATCAACAAGACCACCAGCTTGAAACAACTAAACCCAACAAGACAGTCGGGCTGGTGACCAGTCAGTGTTGCCTTCCCATCTTCAAGTTACCTGCCTGCATTCAGACTTTATAAACTTTGAAAAAGAGCAAAAACTAAAAGGCATCTTCATTCAATTGAAGTGATACAATCAATGACTTGAGAATCTACGAGGAATAATAATATAACTAAATATGCAAGTTGTCTTAAAATTGACTGTCAGATAGTCGGGCAGGTGAAGGAAAATTTCATGCAGCCCAACAGAATAGTTACCAGTCACAGGCAGGCAGACAGGCAGTTATTTCAGCCACTGGGACCAGTGATGAGTTGGGAGTGAGTCTTGAGTAGTAAGTTTTGAGTAGTAAGTCTTGAGTAGTAAGTCTTGAGTAGTAAGTTTTGAGTAGTAAGTTTTGAGTAGTAAGTTGTTAGCAGTGCATCTTCCCTAGGCAAGGGACCAGACAGACCAGTTTCCACCCTTGCCGAACTAGGCTTGAATTTCTGGGTTTGGTCGTACCACCACCATTGACTTATGAGTTCTGTCTCTTCTATGTCCCTCCTATTGACCAATCAGATTCCACTTCTCAAAACACTTGCATTGCTTCAAACAAAGTGGCAGTGCCCAGACAGGGTGATCTGATCACTAATCAAGATCTGTATTGTAATAATGTGTCTTTACTTCGCAAAGAGCATCAGATCATGCGAGAACATGAAGACATTTGGAACATCTGTTGGCGCCAAGTTGACGGTATACATGCTTTGCATATCCTGCGATCGACTGAAATCTGTATGGTATTCTACGAACTGGATGTCGATTTCGTTACGTGATTTGGATTGGACTTTAAAAAGACTTGTTAGTCCAGGCCAAATATTACTCCATAATTCCAGCCTAGTTCGGCAAGGGTAGAAATTAGACTTTCATAGTCAGTTAACTCGCTTGTTTCGGTAAGATGTGAGTAGTAAGTGAGTCGTGAGTATTGTTTTTACGTTACTTGGACTATTTTTATTTTTTTTGTTCCCACATTCAGCAATATTCCAGTTATATGACGACGGTCTGTAAATAATCGAGTCTGGACCAGACATTACAGTGATTGATGTCATGAGCATCGATCCACGCAATTGGGACACGATGACATGCATCAACCAAGTCAGTGAGTCTGACCACACCATTCCGGTAGTCGCCTCTTACAAAAGCAGTCGCCTTTTACGGCAAGTATAGGTAGCTGAAGACCTATTCTACCCCGGATCTTCACGGGTCACTTGGACCAGTATTTCAGTTGCACCACAGTGTGTGAGCTTCAAGTGGAAGTAAAATCTGCCGTGATTCAGTTCTTAAAAGTTGGAAGAAACCCATAAACAAGCCCTTTCCACAAACCCACAGTCGTGACCAGGCAATCACGGGATCATAGCAACTCGGCTCACCCCCTTGATAAGTTGTATGGAGGAGCTGACTTGCCGACAC